TTTTTTCCCTGTCATATCCTGAATAAAATGAAGTGAAAATCTTGGCTGAATATCCAAGCTAGCGAGACTACATACTTTTGCAATTTACTCGAGTCGATTGCATGAAACGGTCGTAGAAGCCCAAAAGTCTAGGCTCCTAGCATACCTTAACAATCATACTTCATTTTCAAATTCATATCATTTATATGCAGTTTTACATGCTCTATCCGAAAACAATTCTTTTGAGCTTGCGAAACAATGAAAATAGTCCAAAAAAACTAATTTTTTTGATAAAAACGGATATTTTGCTGATTATTCAAAAAATCAAGTTTTTTGATTTTAAGTCAAGGAAAGGAGTTGAAATTTTTTTCAAATATACAGTTTTGTAGAGTTCAACGAGCTCTATCTTACCATAGATAAATAAAGAGAAAAAAATTTACTCGATTTTTGAATTACGCGCACCTTACGGTGAACAAGAAAAAACCTTGAATATGTTCTTAGTCAATTTCTAAGCGAATAGAGTTATTGAAATGATTTTGTTTTATTCCTATTAACATGAGTTTGACGTGTTGTGTGATAATTCCTTGACAGACACGCTTTCATTGATCGCCATTGTGGAAACAGTTTGATGCATTCGTAATTTATTTGTAAATAAAATTATTCGATTATTATTTACTAACACTTTGAACTATAAGTTAAGAATGTTCGATATATTGGCGGTGTCGCTGCCAAATTATCAAATTAAAAAATTGGTTTGCCCCAATGAAAATATTCAAATTCTGAACTTTTCAAAATATCAGTATAAATCATACGGAACTATTTATGTTAAAATTTTGCTCGTATACTGAATTGAATTTACCGATTATAAATATTCAAAATTTTACTCTAATTTTTATTGAATAGTGATGTCTTAACAAATTTTGGTAGTACTCTAGTGAAAAGAAGGTTGGCTTTGTGTTATTCAAGCGAGTCGTAGCAAAGATATTCACTGTTTGAAAGCACTGAAGGGTGTGGGTGTCGTTAATAATAATAGCCACACCCACATTACCCTTGAGTGAGAATCAGACCGTGATATTTGGACGTTCTTTTTTACACTACTCAGCATTGATTTTGTATTTACTTCTATCGCATTAACCGTTCCCAACACTTTTATACTGGATAATTTTGTAGCTGAAATCTTCTACATAGAAGGTGTGGATGTGGCTATTCTTATTAGCGATACCCACACCCAGTTTGGGAAATGTCTCTATGATTGGTAAAAAAATGAATCTGTTTGCTCATATTGTAAGGAAGATATTCAATTTTTTTTCGAAAAACCGACTGTTTTCAGTCACCCTGTATATTGATAAACAGAGAGGGATTTAAATTCAAATTTGAATAACTTTAGATGTATGGAAGAATTGACTGCGATATTCTTTTGCCACGAAAAGAATATCTCTCATTGAAATCTATGTGATTGGTTTTGGAGTGGGTTGCAGTGTACCCCTTAAAATGATGTTTAACATTTTGTACTAGATTTTCTAAATACAGTGGCTGGTGTGGAGTTTTGTGAATCGAGACTTTAAAGGTCTATAGATGCATACCACTTCCGCGCCAAACGGCGCTTGGAGTGGCTTGGAGCGTATTTTACTAATACTCGTGTGGGAGCGACTTTCATCTTATACTCTATTTGATCAATTTCGATCGTTTTCTTAATGTTTTGACCCATTGTGAATGCAATCTCACAATTTTGTTTTCATTGAACTACATTCAATACTTATTTTGACTCGTTCACTTGTTTATTTTAGCTCTTTAGGGTTACAGTTGCATGATTTGCAAATACAGCCCATGCCTTCCACGGATGCCATTCAGAAATGCTGTGTTTACTTTCTAGCGGTTACTTACTTTTGTATTCTTGTGTTGTCGCTTTGGACATCAAAATATTCGATAATACCGTATGTGAGCAAGTATGTCGCTAATATTACAACGAAGCCACGAAGTTTAATTAATCGGTTACAGCTCCATAGCAAACCAACCGAGTCTTATCTGAAGTCAGACAAACGTGGATACGTTGCTCTTGTGTACAGTGGTACTGCTCGAAGTTTTAGTGGAAATTTTCTCAGTCACATTGTTAATCTCATGGCTGGATGCCCATATACTGTACATTTATTTCTTCATACATATACGAATGACAATCGTTTTTCTCAAGATGTAAATCATTCTGACTACGCTAGTTATTTATCAGTCAATACAACTCTTGAATACTACAAAGGCTATGTTAATCTCGATAATGAACAGGTCTTATTTCAGAATATTGTGAAAGCAAATGTATTTGAATACTTACCTTTAACAGCCCTACGAGACAACTATAAAGATACGTACAATATCTCCATTAATCGTTTTCCGGGTCATCCACCAATCCCATCGATTTATTATATGTGGCACAGTCAACTGCGTAGTGAGGAGCTTCGTCAAAAGTACATAGCTGCATCCGGTATTGACTACAAATGGACATTTAGAATGCGTCACGATGCAGTCTATTATACTAACTGGTGGCAACGAGCTTTTAATATACAAGTTTATAATTCTTCGAATCCCATACACCAACGCATGAAAGAGGATGTTACTAGCGATTGGGCCATTCGTCCTACCCTTCTGTACGACATGATCTATGAACCGAGGCTTCGAGCAGATAATATACTGTATGTCCCGTTTGGTTGGTCTTATGGTGGTTATAATGATCAGTTTGCTGCGATGTCCTCCGTGAATGCTAAGCACTATTTTACTCGTATATTACATGTACGTCGCATGCTAAATGAAGAGAAAGTTCATTCCGAAACTTCAATACGCTTGGTAGCCCGTTGGAATAATATGACCGTAAATAATGTCGATGGTACTATTTGTTATGAGATAGTGCGTGCATCTCTAGAGCCTAGTCTACAACTCATGCAAAGTGATCAAAGATACCAGTCTTGTAGTTACAAAGGCAGTGGCAAAGAAGATTGTAAACTTTTGTGTCCAGTTCTTAAAAAGATCAACAATGCTTTGCATAAAATGTTTCCTCATGACAGTACACTTATTAGAAGAGGCATTAAAATAGATGATGATAAAATCAAATCGTTACTGATAAAATATCTCTCTGTCATAAATTTGAATAGAACGCTTCAAATTCATTACAATGATTCATCCTTCTACTACGTTCACCTATATGTTATTTCAAGGTACGCAAATGATCCTTGCTTAATCACAACATGGACGGCAGATCAGACCAGAAATTACCTACTGCAATATTTGCCATTCATTTTACGGACACGAGAAAGAAACAAAGTAGAGATGTACAAGAGATATTTGACATGTGGTGTATTGGATATTATATGATTCTCAGGGAAGTATATGCATTATTTCAAGATGATACCCTTCAAAGTGACGAAGACAAGTTTTGATCGACTTCATTGAAAATTTAAATTTAAAAACCAGCACCCTCAACCACAGGCGACGACTAGTGTGTCATATTGTTTGGAACATGAACAAAATTTAGTATTATATGTTATTAATTTATATCTTTCAATATTATTTATGTAATGGAGACCATAATTGATTCTTCTCTCTTATAAAAGTCAAATACGTTCGGCATACACAAGATAGAAAATAGTGTTTTCTTCAAAATCCTATTGATTGTTCTGTTTCAATCTATTTATTTAGTACAAGAAATTTTTATTAAGCATCTATTAGTTATCAGAACCATATTTCAAAGTGAATAAAAAATTCGAGCTATACTGCATTTTTCAATTACAATGTATTTTTCATCTTTAAAGTTTGTGAAAAATTTCTGCGAAGAAAATATCTGTATTGAGCGAAACCAACCTAATAGATTTCAAGTCCTTCCTAACTCAAGCAAGTGTACGGTTACAAGGTTACATTGCAATAGTTTATTCGTTACAGTTATCAATAACTCATGTGAAATTTAGTCAATATAACTGATTTCTCATATGAGATTAACTTTTCTCGCAAATGATCAATCAAAACCTGCCATACGGTGTGGGTGTGAGGCATTTGTGGGTAGGTTTGAGCATTACTGTTGGTGTAGATCTTCTCTTCATACGGATACTCACACCACCACACCCACACCAGCCAATGCACACCCTCAAACCTGCCAATAAAAGCCTACACCCATACTGAGAAGGGCGTAGGTGTCCAAAGCCACACCTGGAGCCCAAGCACCCACAGTCTCCTGAGATTCATAGTACGTAAGTGTGAGTGAGGGTTTGGGGTCGGCTGTTGTACTGATTCTGGATCAACCCAGACTGTGACTGTGTATGTCTCCTTCAAAACCCACTCGGGCCCACGATCGTACCCAAACTCGCATCTACACCTACGCACACCCTTTTGAATTCTTAACTTTTTTAGTAAAACCATCAACAGATTATTTGGAAGAACTATGAGATTTGGTAGAATTAGACAAGATATTCGGAAACATTCCTCACTAATTGTTTAAACAAATTAAAATTTCATCACTACTCTAATGTCTGGTGTCTAGGTGGCTATTAAGTATAAAGTGCATACTACATGTTCAACTTGTGTTCATTTCGATTTCATACTCTCATAATTCTTCATAAAGTCTGGATGAATTTATATCCTGCAATAAAAGCTATACATATAAGGGTGTGGTTGTGGCTGTAAAGTCTTTTCAGTTGCTTCTATACCCACACTCACACCCATATCAAGTCTACCTAATCACCATATAAATTTGAGCTTTCTAAAGCAAAGTGTTCGTGCAGAATATCTGCAGTACAAATCAATTTTTTGCTCAAAGTCGATTTTGAGCCTCGATTTTCTCCCAAAATATACACTCATTTTTTAATGTATCAACGCAGCGTTGAAGACCATACTCCAGTGAACAACGTGGTATGAAAATAAACTTGGGGCGTTTATGGACCGCTTCTAATTTGGCTGATCTTTTTTGCAAAAATGAATTTTTTTCTGCACTCCCAACTTTTTTCATGTATCTCGTGAATGGTTCATTAGAAATAATTAAAACATTCAGAGAAAATAGAGCTAACATAATTGAGTAAATTTCTGCCACATTCACGTTCATTCTATAATTCTTCACCTATGAGATACACTGTAAAAAAAAAGGCGCAGAATAATCAACCATTGCCCTGGATTTTCCTTTTCATAAACTCTTGAGGCGTTTATGAGGATGGCATATACCCTTGAAGGGTTCATGATCCAAAGGGCTTTTGAGCGTAAGGGTATTTGAGGAGGCACAGGGAATATGGAGCTCTTTTAAGGGTTTATATTTAATATTTTAAGGAAAGTAGTTTATTATTAGACGATTAGGGGTAGATTTATAAATACATTTTCCACTGTAAGCGACTTCTCGCTTCTCTTTGAGTATATGATGCGTAGTTGAGCTGCTATTATTCTTCGTTCCATTCCTCGCTACATAGTTATGCATATTGTATCTTTTCTCGTTCTGTGAGGAGGAGCATGGTGAGCAAGAATGAGGGATGAGTTGGGTATGTGTGTTTGTTTTCTGTTCCCTTTTTTCTCGATTGAATAAAGCTCACATTTTGGTGCCGTGACCCGGGATTTTTGGTTTGCCAATTCATTAATCACTTATTCGAAGTTGTATTATGGCTTCGGACGATGATGAACGCCCTCCTAAAGAGCTACTTCAACCACTCACTCAGCTTCAAGCTCCACAATCGAATCTCGCCTCTTCAACTATGATAATTCAAACAGCTTCAACAATTAAAAAACCATATCAAATTACTTTTTCTTCACGTGATGAAGAAATAAAATATACACAAAAGCTCTTAGATAATTGTACACTTTATAATGGTGATCCGGATAATTTAATGTCTTGGTTAAGAGACACAGGTGCATTTATTGTTAAAGAACGTTATCCAGAAACCAATCATCCATTTATTATTCGTCATTTACTAACCGATGATGCACTTGATTATTATCTGGCTCATGAAGACATGATTTTCAATTTTTATGATCTTCGTAAATTATTATTACATAAACAAAATGTATTAGCACCTTTACGTACCTTGCCAACCCTTGATTCCATCGCCACTTTATCTTTAACTGCTGCACCTCCTGTTCTCACGTCTACTCAACTTCCTACTTCTACCGCTGATAAAAAAAACAGCTATGACCACTTATACCTTCGCTCAATCACTAGAAGATTTAACACAAAATGATATTCGAAAAACTATTATTGAAGATTTACAGCGAAGTACTACAAAATTTACTGGTGAACATCGACAAGACGTTCTTAAATGGCTGAAAACCATTGAAATTAAATTCGAAACGGCGGACATTCCAACTGTTAAGAAATTCGATTTAATTCCACAATTACTTGATAAAGGAGTACTTGATTGGTTTCAAGATAATAAGACGAACTTTAACAATTCGTGGAGCGTCTTCGTTGACCATTTCAAAAAAACATTTGATTCGCCAAATCGTGCTAGAATTGCAATGCAAAAGCTTAATTCTTGTGCTCAATCACCAAACCAAGACGTTCGAAGTTTCTGCAGTGAAATACGAAACTATTTTCGGAAGCTGACTCCCATATGAGTTCCTCGATGAAATTAGAATTTTTATTAGCGAAAGTGAATCCTACTTATCGCCTTGATTTACTGAAACAGAAACCAAAAGATCCGACCGAATTTGAAGCAATGGCACGTGATATTGAAAATATCTATCTGGTACATGAAGCCATTGAANATCCGAGATTATGGGTGTATGCTTTCATTGGCAGGCTTGATGGTGTGGTGGTGTGAGTATCCGTATGAAGAGAAGATCTACACCAACACTAATGCTCAAACCCACCCACAAATGCTCCGCACCCACACCCTTTCAAGTCTACGGAACCTTTTTTCGGGTTTCGTAAAAGAACATATTTTTTAGAGTGTTGAGAACTGTTCATCAGAGACAGTGATGATGTTAGTGCATCAATGATTTGGTGATCATCAGTGTTTCAGTGACGTCGGTGTCAGTGCTTTCAGTTTTTCGGTGATTAGTGTCAATGGATCTATCAGTACTCAGTGAGCATCGGTGCCGGTGTTCATGGTGTCAGTTTTTTCAGTAATGCCACTGACACCGCACACCCATAATCTCGGATATACTTGCATGAAAGTCTGGAGCCAGCTTGGTAGCTGAGCTCTGACTCGCCACACACACAAACGCATTTTTTCCGTATGACCCTCCCTTCAGTTGAGGGAGCAGATTAGGTAATCAATTGCTCGCCAATACTTTATCATTCCACAAGAAATCTCGGTGAGAGTGAACGATGATACAGTTGAGTCTCAAAATGAAGCTATTTTGCGATTATCATGTTGCCCATGGCAGGTTTTGATTGATCATTTGCGAAGAAAGTTGATCTCATATGAGAAATCAGTGATATTGACTAAATTGCACATGAGTTATTGATAGCTGTAACGAATAAACTATTGCAATGTAACCTTGTAACCGTACACTTGCTTGAGTTAGGAAGGACTTGAAATCTATTAGGTTGGTTTCACCAAATATAGATATTTTCTTCGCAGAAAATTTTCACAAACTTTAACGATGAAAAATACATTGTAATTCAAAAATGCAGTATAGCTCGAATTTTTTATTCACTTTGAAATGTGGTACTGCTAACTGATGCTTAATAAAAATCTATTGTATTAAATAAACAGATTGAAACAGAACAATCAATAGAATTTTGAAGAAAACACTATTTTCTATCTTGTGTATGCCGAACGTATTTGACTTTTATAAGAGAGAAGAATCAATTATGGTCTCCATTACATAAATAATATTGAAAGGTATGAATTAATAACATATAATACTAGGTTTTGTTCTTCTTCCAAACAATATGACATACTAGTCGTCGCCTGTGGTTAAGAGTGCTGGTTTTTAGATTTAAATTTTCAATGAAGTCGATCAAAAGTTGTCTTCGTCACTTTGAAGAATATCACCTTGAAATAATGCATATACTTCACTGAGAATCATATAATATCCAATACACCACATGTCAAATATCTCTTGTACATCTCTACTTTGTTTCTTTCTCGTGTCCGTAAAATGAATGGCAAATATTGCAGTGGGTAATTTCTGGTCTGATCTGCCGTCCATGTTGTGATTAAGCAGGGATCATTTGCGTACCTTGAAATAGCATATAGGTGAACGTAGTAGAAGGATGAATCATTGTAATGAATTTGAAGCGTTCTATTCAAATTTATGACGGAGAGATATTTTATCAGTAACGATTTGATTTTATCATCATCTATTTTAATGCCTCTTCTAATAAGTGTACTGTCACGAGGAAACATTTCATGCAAAGCATTGTTGATCTTTTTAAGGACTGGACACAAAAGTTTACAATCGTCTTTGCCACTGCCTTTGTAACTACAAGACTGGTATCTTTGATCACTTTGCATGAGTTGTAGACTAGGCTCTAGAGAGACACGCACTATCTCATAACAAATACTACCATCGACATTATTTACGGTCATATTATTCCAACGGGCTACCAAGCGTATTGAAGTTTCGGAATGAACTTTCTCTTCATTTAGCATGCGACGTACATGTAATATACGAGTAAAATAGTGCTTAGCATTCAATGAGGACATCGCAGCAAACTGATCATTATAACCACCAAAAGACCAGCCAAAAGGAACATAAAGTATATTATCTGCTCGAAGCCTCGGTTCGTAGATCATGTCGTACAGAAGGGTAGGACGAATGGCCCAATCGCTAACAACATCCTCTTTCATGCGTTGGTGTATGGGATTCGAAGAATTATAAACTTGTATATTAAAAGCTCGTTGCCACCAGTTAGTATAATAGACTGCATCGTGACGCATTCTAAATGTCCATTTGTAGTCAATACCGGATGCAGCTATGTACTTTTGACGAAGCTCCTCACTACGCAGTTGACTGTGCCACATATAATAAATCGATGGGATTGGTGGATGACCCGGAAAACGATTAATGGAGATATTGTACGTATCTTTATAGTTGTCTCGTAGGGCTGTTAAAGGTAAGTATTCAAATACATTTGCTTTCACAATATTCTGAAATAAGACCTGCTCATTATCGAGATTAACATAGCCTTTGTAGTATCCAAGAGTTGCATTAACTGATAAATAACTGGCGTAGTCAGAATGATTTACATCTTGAGAAAAACGATTGTCATTCGTATATGTATGAAGAAACAAATGTACAGTATATGGACATCCAGCCATGAGATTAACAATGTGACTGAGAAAATTTCCACTAAAACTTCGAGCAGTACCACTGTACACAAGAGCAACGTATCCACGTTTGTCTGACTTCAGATAAGACTCGGTTGGTCTGCTATGGAGACGTAACCGATTAATTAAACTTCGTGACTCCGTTTTATCAACGACAAACTTGTTCACATACGTTACTATCGAATATCTTGATGTCCAGAGCGACAACACAATAATACAAAAGTAAGTAACCGCTAGAAAGTAAACACAGCATTTCGGAAAGGCATCCATGGAAGGCATGTACTGCATTTGCAACTCATGCAACTGTAACGCTAAAGAGCTAATATAAACAAATGAGCGAGTCGAAATAAGTATTGAATGTAGTTCAATGGGAAAAATATTGTGAGATTGCGTTCACAATGGGTCAAAACATTAAGAAAACGATCGAAATTGATCAAGTAGAGTATAAGATGAAAGTCGCTGCCGCACGAGTATTAGTAAAATACGCTCCAAGCCACTCCAAGAACAATCACATAGATCTCAATAAGAGATATTATTTTCATTGCAAAAGAATATCGAAGTCAATTCTTCCATACATCTAAAGTTATTCCAATTTGAATTAAATCCCTCTCTGTTTATCAATATAGAGGGTGATCGAAAAACAGTCGGTTTTTCGAAAAAAATTGAACATCTTCCTCGCAATATGAGCAAACAGATTCACTTTTTTTACCAATCATAGAGGCATTTCCCAAGTTGGGTGTGGCGAGGGTGTGTGTGTTGTTAATAAGAATAGCCACACCCACACCTTCTATGTAGAAGATTTTAGCTGCAAAATTATCCAGTATAAAAGTGTTGAGACCCAGACAGTCAAAGATCAGCAAAAAACGCGTTTATACGTCATTATTTTGGCGTTTTTTTCCCGCTTGAAAACGCTTCGAAAAACGTTAAAAGCGCACCTTCTAACGCGTATAAACGCGATATTTTGTCTTCTAAATGAAAAAAAACGCGTTTATATACGTTGTTCAAGAGTTTGAACGTCGTTTTTTGCTTGAAAACGCGTTACAAAACGTTAAAAGCGCACATTTCAACGCATAAAAACGAGTTTTTTTCTCTATTTTTGACTGACTGGGGAACGGTTAATGCGGTAGAAGTAAATACAAAATCAATGCTGAGTAGTGTAAAAAGAACAACCAAATATCACGGCCTGATTTTCACTCAAGGGTGGTGTGGGTGTGGCTACTTTTTTAAACGACACCCACACCCACGCCACCCACATCCAACAATACCAGACTTTTCATTGATGTCAAATTGTAGCTCTAATTTCAACGATACTACTCTTGTTCCTACTTTTTTTAGAATGATACAGTAATGTTCAAAATACGATAAAAGATTGAAGGACTCATTTTCCACTCTTTTTGCACAAAAAATACTTGGTTTTGTCTAGCGACAACTATTTGTGCTCATGCCTATTCAAAATAAATGATATGTATCAGTATAGAATATACGAAAAAATATTTAGAAGAATAAATTCGGTCGTATTATGTTCCAGAGATCTTCCACTCATTTTTGGCCAAGCAAGATTGATTTTAGCTGGATAAGCTGTATAACGTTCACACTTATCATTTCGAGCAATAGCATTTATTGCTAGACTCAAATCTGTTTTCCATTCATTTGTTGAACTAATCTTTGTCTTTGTTGAGAATGAGTAAACTAGTACTGGAAATTAACTTCTGTGGTCAATAAGAAGGTGACACTTCAGTGCTTTCAAACAGTGAATATCTTTTCTACGACTAGCTTGGATAACACAAAGTCAACCTTCTTTTCACTAGAGTACTACCAAAATTTGTTAAGACACACTATTAAATAAAATTAGAGTAAAATTGTGAATATTTATCATCGGTAAACTCAATTCAGTATACGAGCAAAATTTTAACATAAACAGTTCCGTATGATTTATACTGATATTCTGAAAACTGCAGAATTTGAATATTTTTATTGGAACAAACCAATTTTTGAATTTGAAAATTTGGAAGCGGCACCGTCAATATATCGAACATTCTTATTTTACACTTCAAAGTGTTAGTAAATAATAATCGAATAATTTTATTTACAAATAAATTACGAATGCATCAAACTGTTTCCACAATGACGATCAATGAGAGCGTGTCTGTCCAGGAATTATCACACAACATGTCGAACTCATGTTAGTAGGAAGAAAACAAAATCATTTCAATAACTCTATTCGCTTAGAAATTTACTAGGAACATATTCAAGGTATTTTCTTGTTCATCGTACATTCATAACGGAAAAAGTATACAACCTTGCATTGAGACTCACCTGCAAATAAAAACACGAGGTAAATAAATATTACTTTCGTTATCTAATGTATTTTTATTAATTTGTCTTTTCTTTTCTTTCCTTACTGATAGTAACAAACGCCACGTCATCGATTTATTTGTTAGTTATTTTGTGCATTACATAATTTTACCTTACCTTTATCAACAAAAAATTGTCATTAGCTAAGCCAACGGCGTTCTACAAGTGAGAAAAACTACATGGACTAATCATTTAAAATTTAAAAAAGACTTTCATCATTATTTTGAATAGTGTTAGCGTCTGCAGATGTCGCTAACAGATGCTAAACATCAAACTCTATATCTCGATCTCTCGACCCATGCCATCGAGACCGTGAAAAAACCGGCGGTTTTCCGCGTTCGTGCTATATTGGAATCAGGTTCTTTTTTCAGTTCTGATTGCATTCAAAAGATATATAAGTATCATTATATAAATTTATTTAAATATTATATTTAAAAAAATACAGAAAAATGGCAAGTAGAATCGCATATACTCAAAAACAACGAATTTCACATAATACAGAAAAGGACAAAACAGATAGCTCTGGTATGACCTATAATGAATAGAAAGATTAAAATTTGAAAAACTCATGTTTGCCTTCACCTGTACAATGAATTTCTGTGACTGATAAATAAATATTTGTCTAAAAGAAAAAAATTAGATTAAATTATTTCTTATATTTAATGTATAACTTACTTTCCCAGGTCGAACGATCTGAACCTCGGATCCTGTCGGATCCCATCGGAAACCCAGAGTAATCCGATATTTTCCGATAGGAATCCGACAACTTCCGATGGGTTCCTGTCGGAAATCGTCGGATTCCTTGGTATTGGATTCCGACAGGAAGCTATCGGGTGTCGGATCCAATGATTTCCGACGGTAAAATCCGACGATCGGAAAATGCCGGATAGCTTAGGATCCGACGAGTTTTTTTTATTATCAGTAACGCCAAGCACCATTTTTTTCAACATTGCTGCTTGATTTGCAACAGCTTTGATTTATTTCGCGAATTCAAAATTAATAAAAGAGAATGATCCAACTTTTTCATGGTTTTATTTACGTCTATAACCGTTTCATATTAGAATCGTTTGTACAAAGAAACAAAAAAATGGCACACACATTAGAAAAGTAAATAGAAAAATATCTGAACTAGCACTTTCGCGCATGAAGAACTGCTCATATATAAAAAAAAAGAAAGAAAGAAAGAAAAGTATCAATCATTAATAGATTCGATTCTACATAAGCCAAATTACTAATTATTAATCTCGGTCACATGATGAAGATGGTGGTGATTTGGTTGATTCGCTCTTGCGTGCTCGTTTACGCTCGTCGGACAAAAAGTCAACCAGTTTTGGCCTAAGCAACTTGTGAAAAAACTCATCGTATCGACTTCCACTTATGTTATATTTACATCGTAACGCTCCTAAAAACATCAGAATCGAATAAATAAAGAGATCAAAACCTTTATAAAAGCTAGTGTACAAGAAAAAATTTTAAATGAAATACTTCATATTATCTGAATCTCTGAGTAGAAAAGTTTCTAGTCTCATCATCAACAAATGCTTATTTCATTTTCAACTTACATGAAGAACATGTCAATTTTTACATTATTTTATAAGACTGGTTACTGCGTTCCTGAATATTTTATTCCTGAAAATCATTATATTCTAGGTTCAGATATCTGATCTTCCTATTCTTTGCTATTTAAAACGAAGAAACAGCTTGCATGATTTCGGATTAATGTAATGTCTGCACTCGTATGCACTGTTTGTGAATAAACTTACGATGTAATTTTTCAAATCGTTGATTGTCCAATGGCTTTCGAGCAAACTGTTCACCACCTGGAGGTAAAATGGAAGATGTTAATTCTTCACGTGAATAAAGTGAACGCAACACTTGTCGAGCATAATCTCCAACGCTTTTCCCTCGAATAAGAAGCAAGTTGATATTTCCGTGCATCTAAATAACACAAAATATATAAATATAAATCTAGACAGACACACTAACGACGTCCTCTTGTATTTGACTGGTCCCGGGTTCACGATAAGCCGAAATGTCAATCTTTACAAATAAAGAAACAACATACAATATATCTAATTAGAAGAATGCTAGTGACTTACGTCATTAGCATGATTGTTTTTTTCGATTTTCTTCGATAATTGTACAAAATATTTTTGATTTTCTTGACGGATGGAATCCAATACGACATCAAGATGTTGAATGATAGAAGACGCTGTAAGAAAACACAGTTTCACTTAAATTTTTCTTTAAAAGATTCAAATTTGAAACCTGATGAAACATTCAAATGTGACTCATCAACTTCATCATCGCTCGAGGTTCCACCACGTAAAACTAAGAAATCAGAAATATCATATTTTTTAATATAAAAATAATCAAATTATTCTAAAATATTTATGCAGGATTGGCCTTGAGAAAATGAAGAATGTGCTTAACCAAAGATCTACTTGGATTTTTTTCATGCAAGTGTTATTCAAAAAGAAATCGTTGAATGGAAATGATAACATTATCGATAGTCATTAGAGAGTATCAACATACCTTGAATTTCGTTTTCGAAATCATTACGTTTTATTCTTTTGGTTGATTTCATAGTTGAAGGACGTTCATTAAAATGTATAGTTGATTGAAGTGGAGTCCGTTTTTTATTAGGCGCACATGATTTTGATAAAGTTTTCGAATCTAAAGATACAAATCAACCTCACTGACTAATCCAATCCTTTTAGTAGTTGATAAGACAAGTTTCTTTCTAATACAATAGAAAAGTTGGCTAACATCAGTTTACTGAAACCATGGAAAATGTATACTACTTTTCTTTAAATTATTTATCTTAATTGATCATTATTTTCGTATTTTATTTTCCATCTTGTAAACAATAAACGAAACGAGCTTATTTAAAAGATTTTATATTCAGTAGAGCACATCAAAAAAGAAATTGGAAAAGGAGCTGTGTTCTAAAAGTGATTTTTTTCAGCTTTTTAAAGCAGGCACTTACTGGAACGATAAGTCAGTATATCTATTGCTTCTTCATCATTTTCATTTTCATTTTCATCTTCTTCTTCATCTTCATCTTCACAACCATTATTATCATCAAAACCTAAAACTGTTTTTTAATTTAGCTGAAAATACGGGGAAAAAAATACTTGTTGAATTCTGTGCTTCTTCTTTCTTTTGCCAAATACGACGACATTCCTCGCGGCTACCTAAAAAACAAAAAAATTTTTCATAAGTTAACTTTTTACAAAATAAAATGTACTTGTGTAAGATAAAACTTTATGAAATTAACATTATCATTTTGACGACCCGGAAGATAGAAATTAAGTGCAATTAAACTGTTTAGATACTCTACAATTCTAATCAATTTTTTTATTTGTTGAGCGAGGCGGTTAGAAAGGATTGGTTTGTACTTGATTATGTTTGAAATCTTCCGATATTTAGATTCGAAGGCAAATACCCTTTGAATAATTTAAGTAAAGTAGTTAAGTAGTGTGATTAATCGATCAATTAGCTTCCTTGTGTGAGTTCAGTAGTGTATGAAATGAATGTACAGTCTACTGAATGTTTTCGTAAAAATCTAAATGCATTCAGTAATTATTTAATGAAATCTTTCCAGAAGATAACTAGCAGCCTAGCCAGTCATTGGCATTACTATATCTCAATCTGAGAATGTTTAGCTAACCTCGATGTTCTATTTTAGCTTCTGTTCGTCGACCAAACACCATGATTTCACCCGAGTCACCATAAATTCGTTTCATACTTGATCGATGCACGATGACATATTCTTGTGTGTCGATGATTTGGCATAAGAAGCATTCAGGTTCATAGGTGTTTGTTGTTGGTGTGAAAATTTTTTTCTGTGTTCGAATACGACCAGTCATCTAGAGAAAAGATCAAAATATTTTAAAACTATAATGAAGTCGCGCTCTGAATCAAAATAATTTGATTTTATAGCATAAAACATTCGATTCAGTTGTGAGTAATAATCTTAGTCAAGATGTTATCAAACTTCAATTATTATTACGTTAAGAATTACTCGCTTGTAAATCTAAAATAAAAATAAAAAATACATGTAAACGAAAATAATATAAAGAGTCTGCTGAGAATAGCTTGCACTAGTTCTGCCGCTCGTACCAATCTTTAGCATGTATTAATTTTATAGGGTGATGCTGAAAATTTTTACTGCGATGTCTTTACTAGCACTTCGCTTAGTACTACTAGTCATGGAATCCAAAAGAGCAACTGTTTTCTCATACTTTTCATCACAAAATAGCTGTCAATGATTATATTCGCAAATTTTAAAATATCAATTAAACTAGAAGATGTCTTACGTCAATATATTTCATTATTATCTTAGTCATGCTCATCGTATGATGAGACTGGTGTAGCAATATGATAATCTTCACAATCAAAAACAATACAATTATCTAAGATACACGAAGCAAGAACTGTTTCATATGAAGAAATACACTGTTGAGAAATAACAAAAAATAAATGATTAATTGATCGATCCAATAGTTCATAATATGACGAAGAGCGAAATAGATCACTAAAGCGACTAATTGTTGGATATTGTTGTATGAGTGCATACGTAGAATTCAAACATTTGAAGAAAATTATAATTTTACCAAATAAATACGAATTAGGAACAGCTGTTGAAGTATAACGAACAAAATAACTAACACTTTTTTGTCGACGTTTGTATTGTAATGAATGATAAACTTGACTATTGATAATACATCGTCGATAAGCTGTTAAACATGAATCAAGTGATGCACAAGTACATTGCACACTGTGTAACAATTGAAAAAGACTATTATTTTTAAAATCAAAATTAAATTCCTGATCAAATGGTCCATCAACGATTTTAGTAAATTGATTCGATTTTTCCATTTTATGATGAAGTAAAAAATCAATGGAATAATTCTTACATATTAAGTCCCCGTAGAACCTAGTACCCGTTCGATTAGAACCTACGTACCCAATCAATGCTTCTTGACCGAATGAACCCAGATGTGAGAATGCTCCAAACATCTCATATTGATTCTTAAAATGCTGGTGTAAATGGAGAACAAAGTTCTCAAGTCCATCATAAAATAAACTAAAATCTTTATAGTATTTCGTTAAAAGATCACCAGCTATATCTGAAGTTCGATCACCAAATATGGGCTTTCCGTGTAATAACCGAAGCGCAGTAATAAACATTGCAAAATGACCAAGAATTTCAGATGAAACATGCTTGTGAAAAATAGGAAGAATTCCATAGAAAAGAATGTTGCGAATTTCAGTTGCTTTCACAAATGAAAGATCATTGAAAGGTCTCATTTGACGGTGAAAGAAATGTGGAAATGGCTGGTGTATCAGTGCACGATCAACAATATTACGAACATATGGAGTCAATCGACGATAAAGCTCAATAAATATTGATTTAGAATGTCTAAGTAAGCTCACATGAGCATAATCAACAATTATCCCATATGGAAAATTTATGTCAACAATATTAGAAAAAATAGAAACACCCAAATGTCCTTTTTCATTTCTATTTAATTGTTCTGCAGCTGTTGCATCTTGAGCAAAACTATTGACTGTTCGCATTTGATGCAAGCACTCATAAGGATATTGTCGCTTCTGTTTTTGATGAATACCACGTAAATAGCAGAAGTAACAGCAATAGTATCCGTTGTGACTAATGAAATTGAGTGCTATTTTTAAAGCAGGTGAATCACCGGTTATACCCAGTACTTTTAATTTGATGGTCTGATCATTCACGATAACACCTAAATAAAATCGATTCCTCAATGAAAGTTTACGAGATAATCTAACAGTCGAAGTCTTCTCAATATTTCGAAAAATCAATAAAACTTGTGTTCCATGTAATAGATACTCATCGTATTGAGTCTTCACTGTAGCGAGTTACTATTAGTGATGGCAATGCATAGTGAAAACAATTAAGAGCGTATCAGAGCCATCAACAAGTTTAAAAGCGTCAAGAATTTCGACATGTGCTTGAACTTTCAGCATCCATTATAAATACAATTATAGAAGAGGCAAAATAAAAAAAGGAACTGATTGAAATAGAAGGATAATATCCTGACTTCGAATCTATGGCAATCATATCAGTAATTTTAAGCGTACTTCAAACACTATCACTTGAAAGTTTATATTAATTCTATTACATGAAGCAACCTACGGATAATTTAACAAGAAGATGATAGATCGAAATGATAGAACTGTAATATATATTTTTTATATTCAAGTCAAATGAAAAAAGACCTTTTGTTTTATTACACTTATTAACACCTTTCTAGTTTTTGTGTAAGGATCAAATAAAACTTAACGATACCTGTTAATTTCAATTCTTCTAACTTTTTAATGCTTTTTTGAAGCCATACAGATGCTATTGGTTCTTTGGAACTGACCCAGATCGATACTATAACCATATTGTGCTTCTGATATCTCAGTTTAGCTGGTAATTCTATGATTGAAAAAGATAATAACCACATTTTCAACTTGTTAGATTTACATAGGCCGATCCCATCCAAATGCATCAAAGCCGTAATAAAATTTTCATTCGAAAATCGATGTAACAAATTTTGATACGCATAAGCAAATCCAATATCGAGGCTACCTGATGTATCATTATTTAATATAAGATCATTCTTGTAGACTCGAATCGAATCCCCAATCTTCTCTAACAACACACATAAAATTGATTTAACATCTGAATCGTAAATAGCTGCAATATTATTTTTATTTGATGTTGGACAAGAAAGACAAACACGATTCTCATCAGATATTTCTTTATAACATAATAGACAGATATTTGTTTTTCGAAAAAAATTTTGGTTTAGTTCAAGTTTTTGCAATAGTTTGTTAATGCTAATCGGCAAGTTATTGGGGCTTGGTAAGGCAGAGTGAATAAGATCAAATAAACGATGAGATTCTGACTGTGAAAGTTTTGAGTAACGAAATGATTTAAGAAGACGAAAACAAAATGAATTGGTAAGCATATCGGTGTATGGATGAAGCGGTGAATCATAATCATTGGAATCATCAGTTTTATCTGTTTGAAAAACCGGTTCTGAAGTTGATTTAATATCAACCATGTCGATATTATTAATCCATTGTAAATCTCGATCATCATGCATAATTGAATTACTATCATCATTGCTAATATTATTCGGCGTAATTCCATCGGGTAAATATTCAATTGGTAATGGTGAACACGGTGATACACAAATAAGTCGGTAACAATTTTTATGTACATTGTCAGCATAAGGATGGGATCGGCATCGGCTTGACTTCTCACGTTTTTTTTTCAAATGCACTTCGTACTTTGTCTTAGCTAATTCTAATGCATCTTGTAATTCAATATCATCCTAAAAAAAGAAATAGCGACATTGAAAAAGAATGAAAACCATTCAAAAATAGCATTTAAGCTGATACAATACTGGTAGTTCTCTATTCAAAAATAGCCACTAGCTACTTTCTTCTTACGGCATAAAGAATTTCACTTATCCTATTAAAGTAGGGAAAACTTGCTCTGAGCGATTTCCCAGTATCAGTGTTGCCTTTTATGTATCGTTTTTTTGTACTCAAAAGACGCATCAATGCTAGAAAAACGAGCGTTTCTGCATAGTGAACTTACCATACGTAATACAAATCCCTATAAAAAATTTAATAAACACGTGTAGCACAATCAATAATATTTTTACTATGACCAGATATAATATCCTAAAATACATAAAACCACAAATTATCACAATGTGACAGTAGAACTTACGTGGAAAGTTTCGGTGCAACCAAGATAAGAAAAAAAGAATCGTTTATTAAGTATGTCCCTGCTTACCAAGCCCCCTACTAAATAAAGTAAAATGGCCAGTCGATACTTCTGTTCATTTTACTTGTGACATTGTTATGATATTTCACCAATAAAACATTATGTCGATAGATGTCGCATTGTTGCCGCGAGTGGACGATACCTATGACGATTCTATCTTATGTGTATTAACGGTACGACAAATCAATTGTGCCTTTCAGATAAAAGGAATTTTGTTTGACGATAGAAAAACGAACAATTATTTCAGTTTATTTTTATGATATTTTGATTTCATTTCAATTTAGATTCTATAATTTTATTTTTCCAATATATTAACAAAATTCTTGTTAAGCTAAATTAAGTATTTCCGTTTCTAGAAGAACGAAACAAATAATTATTGATTTGATTGTGAATTTTACTCTAAATTAGTGCTAGTTTTCAGATTTGAAACTATTATTAATGTCAATATCTCATTAAAAGTTAATTCGTATCTGTGTTTATCCAAAAAAAAGAAAAGTTTTCTAAATTTTCTCCTATTAATTAAACGGTGTTCTAATTTAAGTTAAATTTAAATTTAATCTTTTTTATACATAAAATTAGCATTACATTGAAATCGATTCAATGTTGATTCCTAAAATCAAAATCAAAACATAAAACAATATTGTTTTATGTTTTTTCTCCTAGATATTGCGATCACAAATTACACAACTATATCTCATTAATATGCATTATTATATCAGTGGTTGTACTCATTGATTTATTTATTTACACACCATAAATAAATAATTGAATCGTATTTGTCAGCACATAAATATGATTTTGTCAACAATCTGTTTTAAAAATGAAATTAATGATAAACGATTTAAAAAAATTTCTGTACAGTTTCTTTCTAATGATAAAGTCTTATTTTTCTAGCCTTATCTTGGTAACATTTAGAAAAGTATAACAATTGTTTATTTCTTTTAAAACCGTTCGAAAAAAATGTATTTGAAAATTTCGTTTATGCTTTATACCACATTCTTAAAACAGCTAATAAAATATCATTGAAGCAATTCCGATGAAAGAGTTGTTAAAAGGACAAGGGCAACTATAGTAGTCATATAATTTGAACTGAATCGTAAACAGTATGGTACTTATAAGAAACCTCTACTAAACTTTTCAACTGCAATATCAGAATACAACCGATTTGCTCTTGTTTTAAAATCTAAGTGTACTTCATGCAAGTTCAATCTTCAAGAAGTGAGGCGACTGATTAATTATTTCAATATCTACTAGGGTTTTGTGAAATTTTTTATCGAAAATGGTGGGAAATACTACCATCGTTTTTGTGAAATCGACCTCGTTGAAATTTATTGATTAAGATATACAGTATATGCGAAGTAAATCTAACGAACTAAATTCTGCGGGTGATTATAATCGACGAATTATATAAAATTGCTTTTTAAACGCAGCTTATGAAATACGTTCATGTATTTTTTCATTTTCGAACTTGTAGGGCGACTTGAAAGACAGTTATTCAAGCAAAGATTTTTTAGATCGGCATAGTGCTTTGAATTTTTTAGAATATCACCAACGAGATCGTAGCTAAAAAACAAAACTGTCGGTTTTGGTCGGATCCGGTAGATTCCCGAGCTTCGGATAACAACGGATCCTACCACCGGAATCCCAGAGAATCCTACCGTCGGAAAGTGTCGGAAATCAAAGGATATTACCGGATTCCGACCACCGGTAGCCGATGGGATCCGTCTGTCGGATTTTGTCGGATTACCCGCGGTTCCTGTAGGATCCTATCAGGAAGATTTGACCTGGGTTATAAATGGATACATAGTTACCTTCCACGTAAGAATGGATTAACAATATCTAAGAACAAAAAATAAAAAAATAAAAATAATATTCTTGGTTTTTATCTTAATGATCCATATATATTTATATATATGTCGGTTGGATATAAATAAAAGAATTATTTAATAATATCAGAAAGAATAAAAATAGTATCAGCATATTTATTATTCGTCTCTTTTTATATACTCCGCATTCAAAAACATTTCTAAATAGTTCATTTTCAAAATAAGATGATTTCATTTAAAACTGGGTAAAAAAATTTGTAAAATTGAAGTAATGAAAATTTTTAATAGCTAAAATACATTCATTGTACATAGAATAGTTGTCTGCATAAAGCTATCTTTAAATAGTCATCTAGTGCTCAAATGTTAAGTATTACCAGGTTACACTGTTCGTGTGTTGTATATAGAGCTTAAAACCGAAAGAACTTTTAGAAATCTAGTTAATCTAACGATGAACACTATGAATCATCGCTTGATCGACTAATTAAAATATTTCAGTGTCATCTACCAACTATTATATTGGTGATTATTTTCCAAGTCAATCAAATGAGGGTGATTCATTCGAACTGATTGGTTGCTCTTCAGTTTGTAAAAAAAAAGTTTTTCACGTCCCAGGTCGACTGATCCGACATCGGATCCGATAGGAACCTGGAAATATCCTACAATCCAATACAATTCTATTGGATTCCGGGTCGAGGAATCGATGTCGGATCCTCATTGTCAGAATCCTATGAACTTTCGATGACATACAACAGTTTTTCCTTGGAATTCATAGGAATCCGACACTGAGGATCCGACATCAATTCCTCGGCCTGAAATCCAACGATAATTCTGTAGGATCGGGCAGGATCCGATAAAATCCTATTGGATTCCAGTCGGATCGGATGGGTTCCGATAGGTGCCTACTATCGGATTGCTCGACCTGGGGTTTCTTTTTTTCTTGCTTCCAACAATATTTATTGCAAAAGTTAATAAAAGCTATTTACAAAAAAACAATTTTTTGGTTTCGCAGTTCGCTTCAGAATTTTTTCTCGAGAGAAAGTTGATCGAAATGATAAATTTAGATATTATCATTAATAAAAAAGAAAAGAATAAAGTTGAAGTATAAATTTGTGAATAAATGAAGAAAACCGTTAGACTTGAAATGAATTTATTTCCATCAAGAAATAATGATATCAATTATGTTTTAGAAAAAAAAATATTGAATTTGATTTGTCATAATTCAGTCCTAAATAAATTTCATTTGAAAAACATAATGATACTGATTTTTTTCACTGATGGTGTGGGTGTGTTTAAAAGAATATTCTAAGCTACTTATCACGATCGTTTTTGAACCTTGCTTATGGGTGCATCATCAGGTAAGTTTAGAATAAAGCTGTCCGTGAATCTAAATTATAGAATTATTCAGTTTCATGAAATTGGAATGCAGTGTCATGCTGCGTACTTGTCGATTGGTGGATTTTGTTGAAAAATAGCGATGTAGTGAGATGTTATTTGTTTGTGTGATCCATATGTATGTTCTAGTCGTTTGAGTTTGTGAGCTATCTGAAAGAAAATTAGCTTTAGTAAAGTACATAGGGGTTACAGGGAGATGCATCATTTGGAGAAAGAGGTAATTTTATTGAGAAAGAAATCGAAGTACAATTGTATGTTATTAATTATGCTTAGTGCGACTTGTATAGGTAGTCTTTCAATTCATCGTCTTACCATTGCTGGAGCTGGAGAAGCTGTTCCTGTTTTTTTTTGAGGTTCTGTTCCTCGGTTGTGATTTGCTCTTCGATATCAATGTTTCGCAGCAGTTCAGATAGATCTTCCAGAGGGTGTGGGTGTTAGTGTTGATCATCTCGCCACACCCACTCACACCCACACCCACACGCACACCCACACACCCACACCCCACACCCACTTACGAAAGCATATTGGATTGGTACACAAATAAGAAGAATACCTTTATCCGTCTCAAAAAGTAATTTACACAGT